AGTGAATTACGGTCACCCCTGAGATAAGGTCAAATTATAAAAAAACCTCTCATATTTGTTGAGGACTAATTCAAAGTCTGACCAAGTATATTTTAGATTAGTTACAAGCAGGCCCTTTGGGCGTGGCCAGTGGCGAATCCAGGATTTTTGCCAAGGGGGTTCGAAATTGTAGAATAAAAAAATTAAATATCACTTTATAAAAATAGTGGACCAAAAACTTATAATTTACAAATTGTAGGTGAATTGTGGAAATATTTTAAGAGAAAAAAGGTGAAAAATGTTAAGATTTGAAAAATAAATCAGTTTAAGAGGGTGGGTTGCGAAACCGGGACCTACAAACGGATCAAACATATCTTTACCACCTCAACCAATAGCCTTACTGTCAATTTATGTATAACAGTACATTTTGTATAAAATCAAGGGTGTGCAACTGCACACCCTAGACCATAGCCAGATCCGCCGCTGGGCGTGGTACAACAAAATTGACGGCTACTTTATGAAAAATAGTTTCCCAAGGAGCGAAAATGAACCTGCTATTTAAGTGAATAAGGAAGGTAAAAATGATTTCATCATTATTTGTCTTTATGTTGATGATATCATTTATACAAGTTCTTCTAAGTCTCTTCTCGGTGAATTTATATAGAGTATGATGCATGAATTTGAAATGTCAGACATGGGTTATTTGCATTACTTTCTTGGTCTTGAAGTTGTACAAGCAGAAGATGGCATTTTTGTTTGTCAAAAAAAATATGCCAATGATCTTCTCAAGAAGTTTGGTATGCACAATCGTAAGTCGGCAGGTTGATGCTATAAGGTTCAACAGCTTGGTTGGAGGGTTAATTTTTTTAACTCACACTCGACCCGATATTATTTTTTATGTTGGTATAATTTCCAGGTTTATGCACAATCCTTCTAGGATTCATCTCGGAGCAGCGAAGTGGATCATGAGCTACATTGTTGGAAAAATATATAGTCAACGAAAAATATTTGCCAACGACATGAATTCGTTGCGCAAACTAAATGTATTGGCAAGAACTTTAAATTCGTTGCCCCGAACTTTCTGTAACAAATAAAAGACAACGAAACTAGCAACGACTTATTTTCGTTGCGAATGGAATTAGCAACGAAATTATATACTTTCCACAACGAAATTCATTGTAGCCAAATGCGAACTTTCTTGTAGTGATTGTTTCCAAACCCATGGATCTTGGAACCGTAAAGGGTAAACTCGATATTTACTCTTGTGCCGATGAGTTTTTCGATGATGTGAAATTGACTTTCGCCAATGATGTTAATTGATAAGTTTTTAATGAATTTTTGTAACGAAATTTGTTAATTACAGATTGGTTTTCATTAATTACAGAGTGGTTATTGTTAATCGATAAGTTTTTAGTGAATTTTTGTAATGGAATTTGTTAATTACATAGTGATTTTCGCTAATTTACAGAGTTGTATTCATTAATTACAGAGTTATTTTTGTTAATTACATAGTGATTTTTGATAAGTTTATAATGAATTTTCGTAATGAAATACTGTTGGGATTTTTTTAATAAAAATAATATTTTATTAAATATTTTATTTGACAAATTTATGAGGTCATTTAGAACAATATTTTGAAACCTCCAAAGACTTTATTTTGTCTCATAAAACCTCAATATTTTCCTTTAATTCTATATTAAATAGAGGTTTTATGGTGGTCATATTTTATACTATAAAAAGGGGACTTTGTGGCTTTGCAAGGAAGGAGTGTGAAGAGAAAAAGAAACATTTTTCATCTATACTATATAAATATATTTTGAGCTCTTGTTGTGTGTCGGGTGTAAGTTTCTACTTCACTCGAACGTGCAATTTCGGTGAAGTTACAGCGGAGAGATATGCTGGGCTGTTGTATCCCATAGGCGACACGATCGAAACCTTTTTGCACCTCATTAGAGAAGGGGTCGTGAAATTCTTCTTAAGAGAGCGACCTAGTCCACGCCTCACCTTGTCTATCTCCATTGTATTGAGTATATTATTGCAGCTAATTATCAATTATGAAAAGAGAGAGCAAATAGAGTACGAGCTTCAATCCGCCAATTTCGTGATCGATCGTCAAAGTGCAGCCGAAGTTCCAACAAATACTATAATCACATAGTGGTTTTCCTGAAGTTTATTGTGGATTCAATTTGTTAAAAACTATTTTTTTTAATATATCTTTAAATAACAGAAGTATAAAAAAATAAAAAATCGAAATAAAGAAAATGAAAAATAACCTTTTTTAAAAACAAAATCAAACTTTTCTTAAAAATTGAAAATAAGAAAAGAAATAAAAACGAGATTTTTAGAGTTGATTTGGGAGCGTTATTTTGGTCATAAAATCTGAAGCGTAATTTGACGGCATAATTTTTGGAGAAGATTCGGGTGTAGCTTAGGGGCAAGGATTTGAATATATCAACATAATTTTTTTTAATTTATTAAAATAATTAATTGGGGCATATAAGGTATTTTGGGTTGATTGGGTTTATAGCAAATAATAATTAAAAAATAGATTTATCAACAAGTCAACAATAAGGGGGTTTTATCAAATAGCCCCTATTAAAAAAAGGGTTAATATGCCATGAGCCCCTCAAAGGAAACATAATTTGAACTTAATGACAAACCCAAATTCAATCTTTTAATTAGATCCTTAGTTTGAAATAATATATGAGCCACATCCCTAATTTTTTTAAATCCCTATGTTGCCCTTATACCCTAAATCTTATAAACCTAGACATTCACGTTCAATTAAAATTTATTTGTCTTTCTTTTTGTTTTTTTCTCTCTCCATGTTTCTCTCTCACACGTTCTCTATCTCTCACAATTTCTCTCCTCTCGTTTTTTTCTCTCATTTCTATCTTTTCTCTTGTTCTCAGTAGTTGCACGAAGGCAGGAGCAGGGGCGGTGGATCTCTGTGGTGGAGCCGGTGGATGCGGCGGGCGGCCAGTGGAGGCGGCGGCAGCCGATGGAGGCGTCGACGACGGGTGACGGTGGCGGCGGCGGGTGGGGCTGTGAATATGGTTGAGATGTTATGGAAAGTATATTTTTGACTAATCAATTGGATCTGATTTCCTTGTGTTTTGAAAGATTTTTGCTTGATTTGGGTTCAAATCCCAAATCTAGGTTTTCCCAAAGTTGGTAGGTGACTACGTACAATCGCGGCGGCTGCGAGCGTGGGTTGCTAGGGTTGGCGGCGGCTGCGTTGGCTGCTAGGGTTTGCGACGGCTAGGAGTTTTTGGTGGTTAGGGTTTGATAGTAAAGCATAATACACCGTAGTATACTATACTACACCGTAGTATACCATAGTACACCACTACATTATAGTATACTACATTATACATCGTAATATACCATAGTATACTACAGAAAAATTGAAAAATATGTAAATTGAAATTAAAAAAAAATTAAAAAAAATAGCATGTCTTTTTTTTAATTTTCAATACTGTATTATGTAGAAAAAAAGGAAAAAAATAAAGAAATTTTTATAATAGTGTATAAAATGCTAAAACGAATAAAGAAAAAAAGGAAGACAAACGGATATTCTGAAGAAAAAAAAATTAGATGTGAAATATGAAAATATTAAATGCATAATAAATAAAATGATAAATGCAGTATGGAATTTTACTTAATGATAGTTTTGAATTTGTGAGGTGAGGGGCATTTTTGGAATGAATTTTATAAAGGATGTGAAACAAATGTTTAGTTAGACTTGTTATTTAGTTCAAATAAATTTTGTCACCAAGGACCTATATCCTAAGACCCCTAAAAAAAATGCTAGAAGGGGTTCTCACTAATAGTCCCTATTTAAATAGCAGTGTTTTAAAAACTGATCGAGGCGGCCAATTAATCGATCTCCAAGGTGGAGGTGGGCTAAAACCTTTACGATTTTGGTGTAAATTAGAGGTTTGAAAGATCAGTTTTCGCCTGCAATGCGGTTTGAGGCGGTCAAACCATGGAGGCGGGTCAAATGATGTTCGAAAAAATCAGTAAAAAATCGGTCTTTTTTTATTTTATTTTTTAAATAAAACAAAGGGTTTTCAATCAAAAATGAATTTATACTTTGTCTTATATTGTTTATGTTAATTTTTATTTTTGAAGGACCTACTGATATATGCTTTCAATATTCAAGCATAATTTTGAATGCACAAGATTTTTGCTTCATTTTTATTTTGTAAGAATTTTTATTATATTATGAACTTATTATTATTAAGATTTTATTTTCTTTTTTTTTTTTTTTTTGAGGAATTTATTAAGATTTTATTATGTGAGTATGATATATAAATGATTGGTATAAAATCTTGTTTAAATATCTTTTTAAATATGTTTTGACTTTTGAGTATTTACAAATAGTATCTAAAATTATATTACATTAAAGTTAAAAAACAAAATTATTTTTGATTTATTGCCGATTGATCACCGCCGCCCTAATTGTGACGCGGTGCCTAATCACTCGAGGACCCGATATCCATCTTTTACAACCTTGATAAATAAATAAAAAATAGAGTAAATTTAAAATAAAAATACTTATAGTGAAGAGAGAATAATATACATCGGTAAAACATAGTGACATGAGAGAATCTCTTTACAGCAAGCCTATCTATCATTCAAAAATAATAATAGAGGAATATGACAACGGTAATTGCTGAATTTTCATAAAAAAAAAATTAATAAAACAATTACCATATAGAAACATAACGGTAAAGAGGAACGAAACAATTATGAAAGAAATAACTACCAAATAGAGCGGAGAGAGAAAGAAAATATTTGTATGAAAACCCTAAAACAACTCCTCATCTTCTTTTATCATTCCTTGTGTAATAAGTTATTTCCTTAAATATTTAAACCCTAGTAATATAAATATAGATAGTCTTGTCATAAGCAAGAATTTTCCTTACTTTTCTTTCGAATCTCTCTCAACTCTCAGGTTACGTTATAATCTGATATATTCAACATACGCTGTTGGTTGTTTGTTTCCGACAAAGATAATGCTGTCGCATACGAGGAAAAGGATGCGTGAAAATACGAGGATTAACGTTTCTGTACGAGTTGGGAAAAATCGGAAGTTGGATCCGATATTGAAAGTTGAGTGCGGTAATATTTTAAAAGAATTAATGAATCGCCCTGCTGGATGGGTTTTCAGCGAGCCTGTTGATCCTGTGAAGTTACATATTCCCGATTATTTCTCCCTTGTTTCCAAACCTATGGATCTTGGTACCGTAAAGGGTAAACTCGATATTTACTCTTGTGCCGATGAGTTTTTCGATGATGTAAAATTGACTTTCGCCAATGCGATCTTGTATAATCCTGGTTGGAATCGAGTTCATCACTTGGCAAAGCAGTTGGATTCTCTCTTCTGTAAGAGATGGAAAAGATTCGAGGCCGATCGAAAACGAAAGAAAGATTCTGATAATGAGTTTGTTCGAAAGAGATCGAAAAAAGATTTGTCTATAGGTCAGGGTTTTTGTATTCAACCATGTACGGTGGGGGCTGGTTCGAAAGACGATTCTACCCGTGCGGCCTCCAGTGCTTCTGTTGCTAATGTCCAAAAACGGAAAAGAGATTCCGTTGATGATTCAAAACTGGATTCCGCTGCTGCTGCTTCGATTATTATGTCTACATCGAATGTCAAAGAAATGTCTTTGAATATCTCTTTGAGAGCTGCGATGCTAAAAAGTCGGTTTGCAGACACAATCTTGAAAGCCAAGCTTCAACTGCAGCAGCATAAGGGTTCAACCGAAGAAAGACGATTTGAGTCGGAAGAGGAAAAGGTGAAAGAGAGAAAAAGAATCGAAGAAGAATTTAGAGCTGCACAAAAAGAAGATTTGAAGAGGAGACGCAAGATTGAGAGGATGGCTCTTGAACACATGGAAAAAAGCGTTCGTATAAATGACGATAACGCCCATCTGTTGAAAAAGTTGGAGAGTTTGTGCGGCGATTCGGCATTCGATCTATTTTACGGAAAGGTTACTACTGCTAGTAATTGTGTGGTTGTAAACCCTCTCGAGAAACTCGGGCTCTATCTAAAGGAGGACGATTATTATTATTTCGAAGATGAAGAACTACTAGTTATCGAGGATGAGTTGGAAGAAGGGGAGATTCGTTAGTTTAGTTCCTCTCAATCTGTTGTTTTGTTATAATTAGTTCTATGTAAGAGATTTCTAATTATGTAAAAATTTATATTATTTTCTCAGATAATTGAATTGAATATTATGTATGTCCGAAGTTGCTGTGGAATTGAATTGAATATTGATTTCCCTTTCATGTTTCTTCTTTCTTCTTGTTTATATTTGAAATTTGTTATCTTTTATATATATATAATAAATCGATAATATGTAGATGAGAGGAGATAATATCTTTTTAGTACAGCAAATTTATCATTCAAAAAAAAAATGTGACAACGGTAATAATAGCTGGCTTTTCCTAAGAAAAAAAAAAATTAATAATAATAATAATAATAATAATAATAATAATAATAATAATAATAATAATAATAATAATAATAATAATAATAATAATAATAATAATAATAATAATAATAATAATAATAATAATAATAATAATAATAATAATAATAATAATAATAATAATAATAATAATAATAATAATAATAATAATAATAATAATAATAATAATAATAATAATAATAATAATAATAATAATAATAATAATAATAATAATAATAATAATAATAATAATAATAATAATAATTACCATATAGGAATATAATGGAAAAATGAAAGTAATAATAATAATTACCATATAGGAATATAATGGAAAAATGAAAGTAGTGTTTTATGAAAGAAACTAAGAAATGATTAGTAAATAATTGAGTAATGTGCAAAAGGTACCCTGTGTAATTTCAAAATAGCAAAAACCCCCTATGATAAATTAACTAGCAAAAACCGCCCTGTGAAATTTTTTAAATAGCACACTTGACCCCTTATTAATTTAAACATTGACCCAAAGTAAAAAGACATAAACACCCTAGTATATCATTTTTTAGCTGTTACAAAAATATAAATGAGATTTACAATTCTCTAAATATTTTAAATTCTTATATTTATAAATATTTTATCTGTTTTATTTTTATTATAAATTTTAATCAGAAAAGTGGAATAGGTTTCTTTTTTATTTTATTTTTAAATTATCATATAAGTTCTTTATTTTAAATTACTCGTACACTAAGAACTTAAATTTGCAAAATTATGCATTTCTTTATTTTGAATTATCTTAAGGGGCAACTATTTCAAATACTAACTTTTGCTTACTTGAATACTACCAAGTTTAAAACCAAAATTGAGTACATATTTATCAGTTTTTTCTTACTTTAATACCAAAATAAAAAGAAAATTACAAAAACACCCTTTCATACAAAATATCAATTATATCAAATTTTATTAGAAATTACCTAATCAAAAACCAAATAAAAAAAAAAAAAGAAAAAAATCCATTTGTTGTAAAAAAAAAAACCTCCAACCCTCTCCAACCCTCGCCGCCGCCGCCGCCGCAAGCCGCTGCCACCGCCGCCGCCGAACGCCACCGTATGCCGCCGCCGCTTCTTCGTCCATTGTTATCAACCCGCCGCCGCTTCTTCGTTCCGGTTTCATTCATCCAAGTAATAATCTTTTTCGAATTTTTTTTCTTTAATATCTACTTAGGATTTGATTGTTTGATATGGGTAATTAGGATTTGATTGTTTTAGGTAGAAATGATCGTTAATTAGTAATGGGTGCATCTAATTTCAGTCGATTCGAGCATTGATTTGAGATTCGCGGGTGGTTTCTTCCTTCACAATATTTGACAAGTTCATGTCGATTTTTGACGAATCTTCGACACTTAGTTGTCGAAAAATGTGAAAGCTGTGAAATGGGACTTCTGATAATTCGACAGATAGCTGTCAAAATTTAGATGACGTTT